TTAGGCAATAACTTCTTACACCAGCTATAACTTCACATTTAACACCAATCCAATCAAGATGGATTCTGGCTAACGGCACATTTACAGCAAACTCATAGAGGATTACAATATTCACCCTCTTATCTGCAGCCGGCTCTGGCTTTTTGGGCGCCCCAAGCAAAAAAAACCAAAAACCTGCGGCACGGCCGGAGCGCGGGTGCAGGGGGACCGGCTGGGGGGGGGGGGGGGGGGGGGGGGGGGGGCAGACAAGGGGGCGGCCAGGGCTACAGCAGGGGCGCTGCCACGCGGCCCCTCCCGCCGCGCCGACTCCTACCGCCTGCCGCGAGGGCTCCACTCCGGTCGGCGGGGAGGGAAGGAAAAGGACTGCCCTGCAGGGCGCCCCGGTTCTCCGCACCGCCGCCCCCTACAGCCGGAGCGGAACAAGAACAACAACAACAAAAAAGCGGCCGTGCCGCCCTAGGATTGGGCAGAATGCCGCCTCCAACAATCTGCCGCCCCAAGCACCAGCTTGCTTAGCTGGTGCCTGGAGCCGGCCCTGCTTATCTGGTAAATAATTTTCCTCTTTGACAAGATCTGCTTTAACAAGAGTGAGCTTAAGTCTGTCCACTTCTGCCTTAGCTTCTAGTTCCTGCAATCGAATATCTGCCATTCTTTGTTCCTGTTCAAAACACAGGCGTTCTCTCTCAGCAGCTTCTCCTTCCAGATCCACTAGTTTTTACTTTTGTTCACGTTCTAACTGCTGGTTTCTGCAAGCGTTTTCGCTGGGTCTGCTTCTTTATCACTGGCAAATAGGGTGACCAGATGTCCCGATTTTATAGGGACAGTCCCGATATTTGAGGGTTTTTTTTTATATAGAGGCCTACTACCCCCCACCCCATCCCGATTTTTCACACTTGCTGTCTGATCATCCTACTGGCAATGAACAGATTTTTCAGTCCCTGCTCTGGGGCCTTTTTCTTAAAAGACCCCGCTCCCCGTACGCACAATTCTCCCAGGCGTTTTCTGTCAGGATCTGGATCATGGGTCTGCCTCTCTGATCACTGTGACTGATTTTTAACTGTTAAACTCTCCAATATCAAAATTAAAGGTTGACAAGCGTGTGGTTCTGATCCCAAAACCCAGTTAACCCGTGGTAACAAGGACTGGTGCCCATGCCGGGGGGGGGGGGGGAGGGCTAGGATCGCCCAGGCAACTGTCAGTCGGGCTTCCCTAGCTTGTCTTTGCCCCCTCCACAGCCAGAGCTTCTCATCCAGAACCTCGGATGGAGTCACCGCTGGCCTTGGCTCCCAACATGAATCAAGTCTCAGCAAATCCACCGTTGGCTCTAGTTCAAACCTGCAAGTGACCCATGTCCCAGGCTGCAGGGGAAGAGGAACCCCCCCAGGGCCTCTGCCAATCTGACCTGGGGGGGAAATTCCTGCCTGACCCCACCTCTGGCGCTCAGACCCACCAGCCAGAGAGCTGGGAAAGGATTCCCCGTAGTAGCTCAGAGACCTCCCCATCTAGCGCCCCATGTCCAGCCACTGGGGATATTTGCTAAGAGCAGACAAAGTCCCCTTCCCCCCCCCCCCCAAATCAGCCTCCCGGTCTCCTCCCCCCCCCACCACCCCCATCGCCCCACCCCTCCCCGCCCCCCATCAGCCTCCTTGTCTCCTCCCCGCCCCCCCACATCAGCCTCATCGTCCCCTCCCCTCCATTTCTGAGGTTTGGATTTGGCTTTGAAAAGACAGAGATAAAAACAAAATCTTGTATGTGCATCTGTCCCTGTTCCCCCCCGCCCCCCGGGCTGTCTCGTGGGTAGGTTTGAACCCTGACCCTTCAGCACCATCACCCAGACTGCGGGCACTGGCACGTCAGGACTAGCTGTTATCTCTGAGGGGAGAAGTGCTGGGTGCACAGGCTGGCCGGGGCACCCAACCCAGCTGTTTCTCTTCCCCACACCCCAAGGAGGGGGCTCCTGCCCCATGTGGTGCTCCCTTGGGAGATGGGACGCTGATGGAGGGAGAAGCCTGGGCCCAGGGGTTCCCAGCGCAGTGTTCGGTGGGGGTGCGAGCCCAGCCTGGGAACGTTCACTGATTCTGGCACTGCCCACGTTTCCCACAGGAGCCAGGCCTGGGCCACGTGGGAAGTGTTTGCGGCAGGTGTGAATTTAAAGTGACCCACTCAGACGGTGCCATCCCTGGGGATGCTCTTCATGCCCACCCAGCTCTTGTCAACAGTCAGTTTCAACGTGCTTTCCAAAGCAGGTCGGTGTCATTATCCCCAGGTGGGGAAACTGAGGCACCGAGGGGCAAAGTGACTTGCCCAGGGTAACACAGCAGGCCAGTGGCAGAGCCAGGAACAGGACTGAGTCTATCCACGAGGCTACGCTGAGCATGTCGTCTCTGTATCCCTGCACCACGTGCAGTGTTTGTCCCAGTGCAACCACGTGGGTTCAGGGCTGATTTTAACCAGCCTAGCTGGGCGCAGCGACACTGGGACAAAGGGGCCGTATACCCAGAATGCTCCCTCCCCGTCCAGCGTGGCAACAGCTCTGCCAGTCCCAGCACGTTATCCCAGTAAAACTGCCCTCGCTCTAGCAGGGCTGGACGGCTTTCACTACACTGAGACGAGTTTCGGGTGTAGACAAGCCCTGAGCTCATGTCCCTGGGGAAGGGGGTTGAGCTAAACCCAACCCAGGCGCGTTACCCAGGTGAGGGAGGGGACGGACTCCGCAAGGGCCATTCTGGGCCATTTCCCCGGCCAGGCAGGGCCTAGTTACACCTGTAGAACTGGTCGGACTCTCCCACCTAGACAAGGGTCAGCCACATGGGAAGGGAATTTCCTGGGACAAAGCAAAGGCCCAAGGGGGGCGTTCAGCTGAACAGCAAAAATCTGCTGCAAACACTGGAGGGGGGAGCGCAGGTCACAAGAATTCCTTTTAATGGAGTGAGAGAGACAAACTAAATATACTGACACAGCCCCGCCCAACACCTCTCCGCACCCCCCAGCCCCCTTTCCACGCCCTCCTCTCCGCACCCCCCCCCCACACACACACACCTCCAACCCGCAGAGGTACACGGCGGACTCAGACTCGGAACTAGAGCTGCCCCACCGGGGAGGTGGATTCCTTCCAACCCCTTTCACGGACGCTCATCACCACCGGACCCAGCACAGCTGCAGCCTCCCTATGCACCTCAACTGCACAACCGGGAGGCTGAGCCCCCCACCCCACCCCCAGGGTCTGGGCGAACTTTCAGACAACAGCGGTTCTAGTAACCCTAGTACGGGGCTTCTCGACCCTCGAGCTCCAAGCCCCTTGCCTGGGCAGGAGCACCCCCCATTTCGCCCAGGGCAGGAGCACCCAGATGGAGGCCCGGAGGGGGAGTTGCTTGCCCAGAAGTTGGGCGGCTGGGCAAGGCCCAGTGGCAAAGAGAACTGGATTCCATGGGGACTGATCCCCCCTCACCCCCAGTTCTGCCAGGGCTGTTGGGGAGAGGCAGACAGGGCACCAGCCATGCCCAGGGCAGTGCCCCCTGGCCCCCAGGTCTGCCAGGGCTGTTGGTGAGAGGCAGAGAGGATGCCAGCCATGCCCAGGGCAGTGCCCCCTGGCCCCCATTTCTGCCAGGGCTGTTGGTGAGAGGCAGACAGGGTGACAGGATGCCAGCCATGCCCAGGGCGGTGCCTGGCGAGTTTGGCCTGCTGGGGGAGGCTGACAAGCACTGGGTGACTGCTCCGCAGGGGCGACCCACAGGCTCTCCCTGCCCTTTGAGTGCCCAGGGGCCAGAGAACGCTGGGGGGAGCTGAGTTCTGCTCCATTGCCAAGGGAAATGCCCCCCTCCCCCACTCTGTAGGCAGCCAAGACGAAAGCGAAACTGCTGCTCCCTGGGAGCAGAGCAAACACCCCGGGGGCCCCAGCCACCCAGGGGAGAAAGGGCTTCTGCAAGCCGGTGCCCACCTGTCCTGAAGCCAGCAGATTGACACCCGAGTGCCAGGCCTGACCCAGGACTTTGCCCTGCTCTGCCAGCAGGCTCCGCACTGGCCTTGAGCAGAGCCCAGCCCTGGGGAGAAGGGTGGAGGGAGGAGGCTTCTCCGGGCACTGACTGCATCAGGGTCATTTATGGTGATGCCAGCTGACAGCCTGGCCCCATGCAAAGCCATAGCCCAGCTGGCCACGGCTCCCCGGCAGCCCAGCCACGCTCCTGGCCCTCGCCTTCTGAAGCCACTTACCCCAGGAACCCTGGCAGGAGAGCGGGCACTGGTGTACGTGGCCGTGCGATGGGGAAGGCACCAATGGACCGAACTCCTTGTGCTTGGCACTAGACCACTGAGCCAGCACCCAGCCCCCCCGAACTCACTCCCGCACCCCCCAACCAGCACACAGCCCCCCTGAACTCCCTCCCACACCCCCAGCCAGCACACAGCCCCCCAAAACTCCCTCCCGCACCCCCCAGTCAGCACACAGCCCCCCTGAACCCTGCTCCCGCACCCTCCAGCCAGCACGCAGCCTCACCAAACTCCCTCCCGCACCCCCTGCCAGCACACAGCCCCCCTGAGCCCCGCTCCCGCACCCCCCAGCCAGCACACAGCCCCCCTGAACCCCGCTCCCGCACCCCCCAGCCAGCACACAGCGCCCCCCGAACTCCCTCCCGCACCCCCCCGCCAGCACACACCCCCTCTCAACCCCAACCAAAACAGACCCCCCCCCCTCCCTCCCCACAGGTCCAGGCCGGCACAGAGCCCCCGCACCCAGCGCCCCCCGGGGAGCCCCCAGCCCGACAATGTGACCCGATCCGGGGCTGGACGCGCCCCGGTGCCGCGCCCTCCCCGGACCCCCGGGCTGCGGCAGCCGCACGGACCGTGGCCGGGCGCGAGCCCCGAGAACCCGCCGGTGCTGGGGGAAGCTCCCGGGCACCCCGAGCCCTGGGCAGCTGCAACCCCCCGGCCCGGTCCCCCGGGAGCCCAGCGCGGGTGTGGCCCCGCGGCGGCCCCCGCGGCCCCGAGCAGCGCGGAGCCGGTACCTGGGGCTGCATCGCGCTGCTGCCAGCGGCCCCCACGGCCCGGGCCCCCCGCGTCCGCCTCGGCAGGTGGCCACCCCTCGCCACCGTCCCTTTGCCCGCTGGGGCGGGGCGAGCAGCTCCGGGAACTCCTGGGCAACAGGCCAGCCCCGCCCTGCCTTGGGGCAGGACAGGGGCGGGGAGCAGCCGGCGCTGAGCCGCCTGGGC